ATAGCGGCCTGCATCGAATAAATCACACATGTGCTTGTTTTGGGCTCGTTTCGCTTGTTCCAGCACATATCTTTCCACCAGTAGTGGATTCTGTAATTCAATAAATTAAAAGTAGATGATGCTCGGTTAGCTTATCCCCAAAACCTGATCTCGTCTCACTGCAGCGTCAATTCGGGATACAGCCGAAGTACAGAATGTTTGAGCCCAAACTGCCTTGACATTCATTTTACTGCTTTTGAAATGTGAAGGCACTCAGAAATAGCCGGTGATAACAGCTACCCACTGGTGAGTTTGTCAATAGCTACCTTTTCCTAGAGTTGCTCAGAAACAAGCTGGTGATGATGACGATTGGACAAAACGGAAGAAATCAGAGGCCTACTTTGTGCATGATCCTCTGAAAAATTTGCGACATTCCGACAAAGTAAAATAGCTTTGTTTCTGCAGTTACGCTGTTCAGAAAGCTCCTAATCCAGAAAAATTAGATTTTCGTGCGAAATAAAACCACTTTTGATTAATTCTGGGCTAGAATCTTACACACTAATACATTGGTGCGCGAATAAATACACGGATATGCATACAAACATTCATATCGTTGCATGGAAAAAGGAATATTTACTTCGTCTGTGTAGCCATAATCAAATTTAAGTGCGTATCGGTTCCCGTGATATCCAACCTACAAAACATACTCATTGACAAGCAAACTTGCTGCCAATTCGGAGCAAGCTTTTTTTGGTGCCAAGCAAAGTAGCTGATAATAAATAGTCACACGCACACTGTTGTGCGTTTTTGCAACAAAATGTTGCGGAAAGAGAGGGTTAAAATATGTTTCTGAACAGACAAAACATGCAGCAGTATGTGATCACTACGGTTTTTTAACCTATTCACTGCACTGAAATTCATGACATAATAATGGCTAAAGAAGTCACTGAAATTCGTGACATTTAGCCGAACGAAACTGGGCATTTTTCAAAACAGTTTAAAATTCTGCAAACGGGGAGAGTTAAAAATTTTATTGCTGTTCAAAATGACTGATTTGTATGTCCCGCAGCTTTAGTTAAACCGGCCACAGAAAGTTTCAGTTGCGCTGGAACGTTACTTACGAAAAAAAATTTTGAGGGATCAGAGGCAAGAAGGAAGGGTGAAATGAAGTGGATCATGAATGAAAAAGCAAAAGGAGTTTTACTTTTGATTTCCATTTGATGTTACTGTTTTTTTTTACTTTTTTTTTAAATGAAGGCATAACACAGGCAGACATGACGCAGTGGGGTCAGCACTGTTGTCGTAAAGTAAGTTGAAGGTTCGATTTTGCTGGTGGGACAACCAGTTCCTCTACTATTCTTTTCGATGGTAAATTGGTACTGGCGCGTGTTAGAGAGTTAAACCGGCCATCAGTTTGCTTGTAGGGCTATTGAAGCTCTTGCTAGCTGGTGGTTGATGTCGGCATTTGTTATCACTCGGGTCAATTCTCAAGCGTTTCCATCTCCCGCTAAGGGCGAAATACGGAGAGGGGTTTGACTTTTGAGCTCACCGTTTTATGCGGAGGAAAAAAAGAGTTGACATTTACGTCATAAATGTGATAGTACGCATTATTTGATGATAAAACAATATTGCCCCGTGGCTTCTAGAATCAGTCTTAGTAAGATTAGTAAATAATTGGTTCACAAGTCACTATCTGGTTAAACCTCCTTTTGTAACATCCAGTCAGGTAGACTTCTATTAATTTCAAGAATGAGGGAAGGCTAGAATTTTTTCGGATTAGATACAATATTCCAA